ATTTTATTTATTTATACAATGAGTTTGTTATATAAGAATACTATATATTATACAAAGACTTAACTATATTATTAACTTAATTGCTAACCTTAACGCTTACTCTAACTATACTGCTAAATTTAACTCGTTACTAACTATACCACTAACCCATTAACCTTGCTAACACAAACTCTTACCTACCAAACTTACTTTACTCGTCGTTAACTATACTACTAACCCTAGCCTAATCTTTATTTTAATTCTTAATGTTTAAATCCGCTATTAACTAATACTAACTCTATTTCTAAATTATAGTAATACGATTTAGGCACCGACAACAAAACAAAGAACTGACGAAACGATAAAAGGACGAAAGGACGAAACAGCGAAAGGACGAAACAGTGAAAGGACGAAACGGCGAATGGACAAAACGACGGCACTATAAAAAAAAAAAACAAACCACTACAAATGAAATGGCAGTATAAAAAAAAACAAAGACGTAACGAAATTACAATAGAAACCAAGAATAAAGCCAAAGATAATACTAACGGTGAAAAAAGGTGACAACACCAACGACGAATGGCGATGTTAAAAAAAAAAAGGTTGGTTAAAAAAAAAAAAAGATCTGTATATTTATTTTTGTTATGTTAATTCGTGTAATAGAAAAGAGCCGACATGGTTACATGATTCCGAGATAAGATCAGAGATCGATTAATCACATGACCCGGAAAATCTCACCTACATTCTGGGTCTATTAACACGTATACGCCTCCATGCTTCAATTTCTTATTGGCCGGTAAGTTCTGTATATGCCAAAGGTGTTTCAAATCTAGTAAGGCCAATTCTTTACCACAGGTCCCTTTGTGTTTACCACATTTTTCACCACTTTTCAATTCTTGTTGCTGTCTAGTTATCCTCCCAAACAAGATCTCCAATGCCACCTTAGAGGTTGTTGGTGCTACCTTGCCAATTGCAGATTTATATACACAACCTTTGTATAATAGAACCTTCTGTAACGACCACTATTACACATAGTGCCAACTACTCTACAATAGATCTCCTTTCGGAAATTTCTAATCCAGACCTGTATTTACTTTGACTTCTCACGGCAAATGCTTCCAAATATTCATAGGTAAACGTACCCACTAGGACTTGAACCCGAAACCCGCTCATGAAGGGTTGGGTGCCTAGACTACTAGGCCGCGGAATCCCAACCCTATAATAATACTGTAAATGCTAATTAATCTTATTTATAGCTTTTGATAGTTAGACTTCTCCAAGAGGTGATCCTTTTATAACTATATTATCACAATTCCAAGTCATTATGAATATTTTATGCTATAGCTGATTATTTGGGAGAATGTCAAACAGAAAATTTTATTACTAATAAAATTTCAGATATAATTAAAAAAATTGGTTCTTACTAGTTTGCTATAGTCGTAACAGATAATAGATCTAATATATGCATTATACAACAATCTATTCATTATGATTATTAGCATCCGTTATATTGCCCATGCACTAAACTTATTAGCTATCAACCTTGTAAAAAATATTTCAATTAAAGAAATTTTGAAACAAGCTAATATGTTAGTTTTATTCATTCAGAAATCTTATATAGCAAATTGAATTTAAAAGATACTATTTCATCAATGAATATTAGAGGCAGATTTTTAAAGTCATACTGTAAGACATATTGGGCATCAATCTATGATATGTGTTAGATTTGCAATTGATAAGGTTTATAAAATTATTAAATATTTTGTATATTGCTAAGTAAAAATATATAATACTTACTATAAACAAATATACATGTTTTTACTTGACAGGCTAAATTTCAAACTTGTAATATTTGTAATATTTATTTATTTATTTTTAATCCAGATTCTTGAAGAATAGCCAGATATATTTACTAACCAAGAAGTATTTGAAATTGTAAATGATAAAAATGATATTTTTTATACCTCTTGTAGAAGAATAGCTTTAATTTTTGAGCCAATTAAGTGGGTGATTACTTTATTCAAAAAACATATGTCAAGCTTGGCTGATTGTTTTTTAGGAATTATGCAACTGGTTACTACTTTTAGAAGAATATCTACTAGCAACAATTTTCACTTTTTGGCTATTGTAATATTCAATTGTCATTATCAACAATTTAATATTTTTTTATATGTTTGACTTATTTTTTTCATTTATACTATTGAGGTTATGGTCTACAAAAAGAAAAATTTCATAATCTATATAAACTAGCAGTTAATTATTACAAAGACTTATATCATAGTAAAAAAGAATGTCATAAATTAGTAGGTTAGTTAATCAAATACAAAGTAAATACAGCATTTTGGAATCTTGAATTTTCTTTTAATTTAATGCCTTCTGTTTGGTAAGGAGTTGTTGAAGATGAATATACACACTTACAAGAACTAGCAAAAACCATGTTTGCTATTGTACCCTCTTAAGCTAACTATAAATGAAATTTCTCTATTTTGAAATAGTTTAGCAAAGAACATTGCACACAGCTTCAGGTTTCACAGTTAGAAAGCATGGCTCAAATTTATTTATTTTACATTTCAAATATAAAAAAAGAATTAAATTTTTGTGATGATAATTTTTTGAAGATAAAGCTGTATAATAGTGTGTTCAATAAAATGATTTTTGCAGAAATTAATAGTTTTGATTTAAGAAATAAAGTGAATAATGAAGAGAAAATCGTAAAAATAAAATTACAATGGCTTTTCAAGATTGGGACCTTATTACAAATGAAATTACAATAGCTTTTCAAGATTGGGTAGATATGTTAAATCCGATATTTGAATTAAATAATAATCAAGATGAACCTATTTTGGCTAAAGAAGATGTAAATATGAATTTTAAAAGTAGTTTTTTGGTCCAAGATATGTCAAGTGATAGTGATTTAGGTAAATAATACTGTGTATATTTTCTTAATTATTTGAATTTCTTTCATTTAAATAAAAATATTGTGTTTATCTTCAAAGTAATACAAGAGTAATAAATTAAAGTTAAAATAAAAACCTTTTAAACTCCTTTTAAAAACCAATCTTACATCTAAAATAAATATAACATTCTCTTAATACCTTAAATAAGAAAATAAAACTATAATCTTAAAAAAATTGCAAATAAAAATTGGTATATAACTTAAAATAGAAAATTAAAAAAAAATTAAAACTCTCTTTATTTATATAGATCGAGTTGAATAATTTTCGCTTTAATTATATAAAATCTACTATTGTATAATAATAGATCCTCAGACTTTCATACTAGGTTTTGTTCAAATCTATATTCTTCTTGTTAATCTAGTAAAAAATCTTTGCCTAATAGTAATCACAATCAATTAGATCAATTAGGAGATTGTGTGACTGCTATTAATAGAGTAATCAGAAAGATTTTTTTTTAGTTTTATAATATGAATCTTTAGCAAAACCATCATCAATATCAAAAAAAATTATAGTTAAAGAGAATGAATAACCACTAATTTTAATCAAATACATACTACATGTCTTATTCTTATTTGAGATTTGACCCAAACTAGTTTTTACATATATAAATTTGAGACTTCTAGCCATAATACAAGTTAAATGTCATAAATGTTTAACATTATAGCAAATTGAGAGCATTTTGTAAAATCTAGTAAATACTGTTTGGGTTTCTACCAAATTTCAAACTAGTAGGTTTGGGTTGCAACTCTAATTATCATAGCCATTCTTTTTTTTGGCCTTTTTCTTTTTTTTCTTTTATTTGTTTTTTATTTGTTTTTATTTAGTTTAGTTTTTTTTTCTTTCTTTTATTTTATAAATTCTTGTTGCTTTTTGGTAGAATTCTTCTATTTAAAAGGCTAAAAGATGAAGATTAAAAAGAAAATAGTTATGACAAACTAGTGAACCAGGTTGGTGAACTAGGGTGGGTTGGCTTGATATAGGTTAAACCAAACTAGGAAGACTAAAATCATCTTTGGCAGATCATACACAGATGTATAAGTATTTAGATACTCTATATAGGTAATAGGGTGAGCTATATACCTGTATCTTTAGATATATATATATATATTTTTTAATTAAAGAAGACCTTTTTGTCGGCAAGAGTTTATTAAACAAAGTTAGACACTATATATTGTGACAAAGGTATATATAGCCGCATGTGCATTTTTTGGATGTCTAATTTAAGTAGTCCGGCCGAAGGTTCTACACTATCTGCCATATCTGTAACCTAACTAGGAGATTACTTATTTAAACCTTCTGATCTTAACATATTTGGCCTAATATCATCTAACATGAGTATAATACACTATTCAAACATAGGTTTTGTAACACCACTACATATTTCTAGCCAACTTAGAACACTTTACTATCCTCGAAGGTAAGCCCAACAGAGTGGTGCATGTTCCACACATGCATTCATCTGTATATTCTGTAATATTTTTCTAATTAGTACCTGTTGTGCTACCAATACCAAGTTCGTATCTCAAGCTGCCTTTTAGAGCACTGCCTTAACCTGATCCATATTTCAATTCACAACCTTCCTAATTAGGTTTTCATTATGTACTCATTGCCCTTAATTGGTTCACAACAACTCCAGTACTCACACTTAAAACTGTCTCCTTACTCAGATTTTTTATTGATTTCTCCTTTACTTCTAGCCAGCAATTTGAATAGGTCGGTCTGCCTAGGCTTTAGATGCCTGAAAGATGCCCTTCCCTTGGTTCATACTTTCAGAGCATATGCCTTTTTTCTCTGGTACATTGGCTCAGCTAGTATGCCCCCCTACTTAAGGATCTAATCGCTCAGTTCTTTAATTTTGGGCCCCAGTTCGAATTCAACCCTCCTGTGGTACTGTTGAAGATCACTATTATATTCAAATTTGGAACTTCCCAAATGGGTTTTCGGTTATGCCAGTTTTTTGAGTTTATTGTGCCAAAGCTTCTATTACTAGATAGTATGACCGAAGTTATAAATTTAGTTCTAGATCCAACCAATAAGTATAGCCATCAACCAAACACAGGTCTATTTTTTAAATATTGTCGTCCATGGGATTTGAACTCTAGATTTGCCACTTGGAAAGAGTGATGACTAGATCACTACACTAAGTCATCACACCTCTATCTTTAAATATATTCTTTTTTTTTCAAATTAAATTAATAATTAATAAAGTATAAGCATGTAACATGATCGCTTAAAAAAAAAAAAAAAACCTGTTTTTAATATTTTATTTACTTTAACTGAAAGAGCTATTATAAAGAATTGTTTAGTGATTAAAACTAAATATTCTGACTACATATTTGAGCTTTTTGGATTCTAATAACTACTAAAAAATTTTATTTCAAACCATACAACAGAGCTAACAATGTGCCAAGAAGTTCCCAATCTTAAGGTTTCATTTACTTTTTTGAAACTTGCTTACTATAAGAGATTAATTGGAATAATCGAAAGTAGGTATTTTAAACCAACTATTTGTTTATTATTTAGTAGCAGATAAATATAAAAAATATTGTTAAACTCTTGAGAAAAAAGGCTGTAAAAAAATGTAATACAGCCAATCAAATTTGCAGGTAGATTATTTTAGAATCTAATTTTCAAATTTGGGGGTTATCTAAAGCCATGTACCTATGTGACTTGTTTGTGCAAATTAACCAACCAGAATTATGAAAGTTTGTTTACACAAATCAGCCCAAAGAAGTTAAAAAATAAAGAAAATGCAAAAATGATAGTCTAAACCTGTTTTGAAGCATTAACAAAAATGTTAAAAGATGATTTTACCTATAAACTACTCTGCCTCTAACCCCACCCTAATGCTAAACTATTTCTATTTCTAATTTTAATTAAAACTTCAAAAAATTACGTAAATACATAGCTTTAGCTATCCCTCAAATTTGGTATATTTTTAGATTGTAATATGCTAGTTTTTCATTTTTTTTAACTTTTTACTAAGTGAAAAATTGGATTAAAGTTGAATTATAATCAAATTAACCGGTGGTGATCGTCACCACCCCTAGATATATTTAGGGTTAGGGTTAGAAATTAGAATTATTTTTTTTTATATAAAATAATATAGAGCTACTATAAGGGCCCAATAGGGCCCGATCTTAGTTTTCGTGAGGTTTTTGGGGGTCCTGAACATTTTTATTTAGAGGACCCGATCCTGTTTACTTAGTACATTTTTGAGATACAGGCACCCTGGTGATGATCACCACCGGTTATAGTTAGATTAATTCTAAAGTTTTTATCAAAAAAAAATTTTTTTTTCCAAAAATTTTAATCCAATTTTTCACTTAGTGAAATGTTAAAAAAATAAACAACTAGCATATTATATAAATACAAAATTTTATTCTGAACAACTTTATTTAAATGCAAAAAATAGATTATTATTTAAATAAAAAAATAGTTTTATATAAAAAATATGTAATTTTTAACAGTAACAAAATAGGATGTATTAGTAAAAAAATAAGTTATCTAAGCATAAAATTATATATATAATTAGTAAATATTTAGTTTTGATAGAGTTGCATTTTTAAAATCTGCAAAATTTACAAAATTTTAATTCGAAACTTAGAGCATTTTTATTCACCTTTTCTTGATATATTTGATTGTAAAATTTAATTTTAAATTAATATGTAGGCGAAGAAACGTTTTTTTTGTAACTTTATATATAAAAAATATTACACCGTGACATATCGTGTGACTGATAGATACAAAACTACCAAAAGATGCATTTTATAATAATGAATAAAAAAGGTTACTAAGCTTAAAGTTTATAATATAGATATATATTTAACTCGTTAGAAGAATCATAAACTTTATAAAACAAGATTATTAAAAAACTTTCGGGGTTCTTAAGCCGTATAATCTGCCCCCTCATTTCATATAATTGAAGTCCCTATTATAGAGGCCTAAAAAAAAAAAAATCTATAAAAGATATTTTTGAATTTACATATCGATATTGATTACAAATAAATTTGTGTGGCTGTTTGAATCTGTCGCGGCGCAGAAATTGCGTGTGCATATTAGAGCATATTATTTTTAGATTTGTTGTTTAGATTTCGCTTGTCACTGTCACCTTTCAGATTTCCACGCAAACTTTATTCAATATGAGTGGTAGAAGGAGGGCCGAGTCACTGAAGGGCTTAACGCTTCCAAAATATAGTCGACCTCAAACTGAAGAAGAGATGGCCTCGATGCATAACTATAGAGACAGGTAAATAAGTTGTTGCGCTTTAATAGTTAACACAAATTAGCTTTTAAACCAGTTTTTATTTGTAGTGGCATCCTTCTACTCTCTTTGACTCAATCTCGACAAGCTTGGACAAGTTCTATTTTAAAAAAGTTTTCTAGCAAGCAAGAAGTTATTTATCAACCCAAATTACCGGAATATACAAATCCAAATGCGATTGTTTCACTACTAGGAAAATGTCATATTACTATAGGACCACACACTTTTTACGATACTAAAATTTATGAGGCCGTATACGAAAAAGAAATGCCGAACCCAGATATTCAGGTTGGAAATTTTCAAATCCAGCAACCAACACAATTGGGATCGCTCCAATCTCCAGCACAACAGCAAACGCAATCAAGTGCACAAAGCTTAACACAAACACCACCATCAGTTATACAGTTGCCGTTACAACAGCCTTTGCCTGCAACTCATACACAACAATCGTCTCAGGCGAAAACTCCGTCAACTTCAACACAATCATTTCCCAGACCAATACATCCTGCTATACAACCAAGACCACAAACACAATCACAAACACTTTCACAAACACAAGTACCGATTCAACCACGAGTCGCTTTACCAAGGATATCTGCACGTCCTGTTACTAATACATTACCAACCGCTTCGACTTTGCCTATAAATAGTTTAAGTACAAATACAAATGGGAATGTCCCATCATCGTCTGCAAATACAAATGCAAGTGCTACATCTTCTATGCAAACGAATGCAAATATCACATCATCTGCAAGTACGAGCGGTACATCTTCTACATCTTCTCCCACAAATTTGAATACCAGTACACCAAAAGTTCCACCACAAGCTACGCCGCAACTCACTGCGTTCATGCAAACAGTACTTCAATCTGTTAATCCAACACAAATATTGGCCATCCAAGAACATTTGCGCCATCCTCAGGTGGCAGCTCACATGTCTATAGAGCAAAAGAACGCGTTGATCAGTCAGTTAACGATAATCCATCAGTTATTAACATCAACACAAATAGCTCAACAGAAAACTCAACAGCAAACAGTTCATTCGCGAACACAGTCTCCTGCGATGAGAGTTAGACAAGTTGTTAGGCACGAGGTTCTGTTGGAATTTAAGGAAACTAAAAATGATAAATGGTTGTTTCCAAAGGATGCAATCTTGGAAGCTTTGTCAATGTCTGAACCCTATGATGTAAGGATCATATGTTTCTTTAGAGTTTTAAATGTCATAAATGTTTGTTAAGATTTTTGACTAAGAATACCCTTTATAAGGTACTTGCTTCATTTTATCTTCCTCAAAACGAAGATACATCTGGATCTAAACAGCAACATCAGCCTGTCACGATGCATATGACTAATATAACGCAACCGATGTTGGATGCGTTAAAAAAAGCAACGAATGATGTAACTACTGTCTTCAAATCAATGGCCGCAAAGGTAAGCAGATTTTAGTGGAATTTAATACTTTATATGAATATTTAAAATTTAATGTTTAATTGAATATAGGTGAACAAGCAACCTAATCGTGTTTACTTACAATACTGTTTACCCTGTGATTATCCGGAGGACTTACTAGAGGTAAGTTTAATATGTTCTACATATTGTTAATGAAAACTGTTATAACTTCGATTTATTAATTACAGGCAATTGGACAAAAAGTTGCTAAATTGGACGGAACCACGATCGTCGATAACATAACTCCGCCAAAGGAAAAGAAACGTAAGCTTGATAAAGAGAAAGAGAAAGATACTGATATAGAAATAGACATAGAAGATATAAAAGATAACGAAATAAATGTCATGGATTATGTAAGAAATTCACCCAAATTTTATGATCTTATGTTTGATGATATAATGTATATTTATAAAGACAGAAACTTATAACTTAGGTAGAACCTGCGACTAAAAAGCAAAAGCCTAGAAACGGTGAAGGTAGCAAAGCAGCGTCAAGAACATCAAATTCTGCTCCAAAAAAGGCAAAAACAGTTCATGATGTTGCTTCTGTAACGCCTGTTCCAACTTCTGGATCCAGCGGAGGTAACAAACGGTGTGCTTATTGTTTTTGTAAGAGTACTCCTATGTGGAGAAGAGGTCCTGATGGTGCTGGTAAGTATATATGTGCCATACAGTACAGAAAAAAAAACACGACAAAAAATTTTAAGGATGATCTGAATTCAGTACACATGTGTTAATTCGACGATGTTATATAAATTTCAAACGTATACTATATATTTATAGGGACTCTTTGCAATGCCTGTGGTGTGAAATGGAAACAAGGGAAGATATTGCAGGGTACTAATACCAATCGTGCTACTGAATCCAATGGCGACTCTATGACAGTTGCACCAAGTCCTAAGTCCAGAAAATATTCATTATCAGCAGCATGCACTCCTGCAACTGCAACCACAACCGCAAAAACTAAAAAGAAGCCCGGACGATCACTTTCAATGAGTGAAGGTGCGTTATCACTTACTGATGATGATGAAAACCGAGATAAAAATCTTGGCAATACTGGAGAAAATTTAAATACAGAGGCACAAAAAAGTGGTAGTGGTAGAAGGGCATCTACGTCGTCAAAGAAAAATAGTTTCAAAGGTTAATGTTTGTCAATATTTTTGGTGATATGCAATATGATAGTTTTTTTTAAATCGATTATGAAAGGACTTTATTTGGATATATTCCGATAAGTTCATTATTATTGTCATTACAATGAAACTGATAGCTGAGCCTAATCTATCGTTTTGTAATCAGCAACAACTACCACAGTCTTTGGTGGTGAGATTGCAGCCTCTCCAGGCAAATGTCTTTTTTTTTTTCCTTTTTTTTTTTCTTACATGAATTAGTGTTGATAAAGTATTTATAACTACGAATATTGTGTTTAATTAATAAATATCAACGGAATTTATTATACATTATATATAATAGACCCAGAATCACCGGATATTGTATCCAGTCCATCACGATCACCACAATACCCATCCGTATCTAATGCAATACCAACATCTCGTACTTCTACTACAGCATCTACGTCAACAACAAATTCTCCAACCATAGTAGGAGGTGGCGGCGGATTTCCAATAAATTTAAAATTAAATTCAATCTCGTTTGGCTCATCAGGAAATAATTTGATCGGAGGAAATAATAATAGTAATAATCAACAAGGTGGAAACTATTATTTCTCTCAACCCAATTGTAATGCACAAGTTTTCGAAGATTGTTTAAAAATAGGATTAGAAAAAGATGGGTACGAAAAAACCGCAATTGATATTTGGAAAGAAAACATTGAGTTTTTAAATTTTGAAAATGAAAGAGATTTGGCTACTGGAATTCCCTTGCTTTCCGTTCAGGCATATGTTTCTCAGCATGTGAATAGGTAAATTATTAATTGACGCTTTGTTTCCCATTCATGGTAAAGAATTTAAAAATCAATTACATTTTCATTCATTCTAACTGTATTAGGTTCGATCAAGAATTATTAAATCCAGATCATAATAATACACTAGTAACGTTCAATTTTATAAATTTGAATGTTAACTTTAGGCCTACTACTACAATGATTGAAAATAATGGATATAGCAATGATATATTTAGAAGTGGCGAAAGTAGAGACCTTAAAACATTTTTAGAGAAATGGGTAGCTTCAGGGATTAATATTACAAAGTAATATTATTTTATGGGTGATAACCTTTATGTAAGTAGTATTGTAAACAAAAAAAAAAAAAAAATTATTTGGGTTAAATTGGCTAATATTTTAGGCTAGATTATTCCGGATATATAAATATATACATCCATCCCCTTTAAATAAAATAAAAGAAAAAAAAAAAAATTAAAAATGGGATAAATAATAAGAATTGAGCGTCTTGCTTTAATTATAAAGAACAGTGTTATATGTTCACAGTGAATATAAATTTTTGAAAAAAATCAGTTTTATATTTTATGTTCACATAGTGTGAACATAAGAAATCAAAAGTTTTATATTTTATGTTCACATAATGTTCACATAAATTTTAATTTTTATAATTTCTTGTTCATAATTTATTAATAGAAAGATCGTATTTATGCTAATACAAGTGCAAATAGGGTGCTGGTGGTCTACAACTTAATTCAGATAAGAACTAAAATTTATTGATTATTTCATAATAAATAATCAAAACACTTATTGGTTGAATCGAAGTGACTGTTTATTGCACATCAGAACGAAATTATTGTAGATTTAGAATCCGCTTAGGTTGGAACAAAATTCCAAATATAGTCCCAAGTTGATATGAAATTTAAGTTGATTCTATATTTGATACTATATGAACAGAGTGCTACAGAAAAGGGGGGAAATCGACAAATTTCCGTAGCATAATCGATAAACTTAATAGCAACTTAAGTTGATTTTAAATCGATACTGTAATAATTATGGTATATTGTCAAGATAAGTACAAATCTTTTATTTCTTTCTCTACTTGATGACCGAACATTAAATTATCTATTTTCACCTCGTATTCAAATTTGGCAAATAGGCAAATAGGCAACATAAAACCTTACGTGAAGACTTTTGTTTTTGAATTAAGATTTTACAAGATTTAGCAAATACAACAATCGAGGATGCGGAAAATCATTCGACAAAAAATACATTACAATACGTGATTAAAATACTCATAAGCATTCGAAAAGCAATCCTCTTCAAAGTAGGTAATATTAAATGTAATTGCAGATAAAATCACTGTAAAATGTAAGTAAATATACCTTACAGGAATAGTTGCGCTGTTATAAAAAAATCCTATATTAATTATTATAAATTTTATTTGTGAGCATATTTATTTTTAATGTGAACATTATTATAAAAAGAAATTATGTTCACAGAAATCATTATTTTTTTTTTTTGAATTTCCAACACTGGTATAGAACCTATACTTCAATAATAAAATGAATGATTTGCACGATGAAAATTAACTGTTGAATTATAATTACTCAACAAAAAAATGAATGTCTATAAAAAAAAAAATAAATAATCGGTCTACTCATAGGAAATGTTGCTCCCAGATGAGCTGTTTTTTTCATTGTCCGCATATTCACCCATCTCGTCATCGCCTTCACCATCATCTTGCCCAATCGCGAATTTCTTTTTGCCCGTTTTATTATGAGAAAATAACAATGGTGCCGTAAGGTCCTCTTCATTAATCCTATTGTAGAAATATTTAGTATAATATAAATAATGACTAGTATCCATAACACATGGTCAGCTTACCTTCTAAATTCATAACCGCCTTCTCCATCAAACCGAAGAAGCCATTCGTGATATTTAACTAGAATAAAATTAAATACATTAAACAATAGAAAAATAAATGTTTAAAAAATAATAAAGATATGCCACATACACTGATTTTATATTTCAAATAATTATAAAATAATAATATTAATTTCAATTTGTTTAGCTATTTCAAAGACAGACAGTAATCTAATTTACTTACTAATGAGTGCCTGTGTGAAACTGTAAATAATGTAATTCCTAAATCGCGGGCGTGCGTATACATGATACCTTCAACATCAACACTCACAGCACTCGTACATTCATCCAAGATCGCCTATTTTAGGACATAATTTATGAGTTAATTCAACACATCAAGGAAAAAAAAAAAAAAAAAAAGCTTACGAATTGAGGCTTGTGATAAAATAGTCTTGCCATTGCCACTCTCTAATAAAACAAGCAAATTATTAAATCTTGTTCAATAATAAATAGAAGTGTCTTGTTTCTTGCATGTTGAATTTTACCTGTTTTTCACCTCCGGACAAAACCTCGGCCCAATCTCGAACCACATCCCATCCACCTTCTCGTGCGATTAAATTACCCAAGTGAACAACATCAAGTAGTTCCATTAATTTGTTATCTTCAAACCCTTTTAATCGCGCCATAGCTTTAGTATCTGGATAAATAATCTATTTCGTTTTAATTAATAAAATATTCCATATATACAAATTAATTTTTTACACGACAAAAATTTTCATACTTGATCTCGGAAAGTCCCGAGTGCTAAGTATGGCTTTTGAGGTATATAAAACAGTTTGGATGCCGGAGGCTTGGTAACAGTTCCACCTATGAAATAAAAGCAATTTATTGACTAACCTAAGAATAACCTAACAATTTGGTTAAAATAATAAACCTACCAAACAAAGGCCATAATTCGCCGAGAATACGAAATAGAGAGCTTTTTCCCTTATAAAAAGGATAGAAGAAGATTATTATTGAAAATATGATAGATTTAATCAATTTATTAAGAGTAATTTAATATTTACACATCCATTGGGTCCAAATATCAGGCAGTTCATTCCTGTTTCAACCTTGAAAGACAGTTCTTTAACCTATAAAGATTATATACTCAATTATAAACCGTAAAATAATGAATAATAAATATTAACTGAATTTTTATTTACCAGTACATCTTGACTAGGTGTTACGATCGGGACTTTTTCAAAAACAATAACGCCATCGTGCGCTACGATTTTTCCATCAAGGTCATTTTGTGACACAACTATTATATAGATGAAACATATAATCTATATTAATTAACATTTTACTTTAATACAATGTGCATGTTGAAATGTCTACATACCTTTACTAACGTTAGCTTCATTTGCGTCTTTGTTAACAATAGTGCGTTCGTATCTGCCATCATTAACATCATCCAGCACATCGAAAAGTTCTGCCACACGAGCCTGTTCAAAATAATATATATATATATAAAAACAATTCTACCAAGTATATTTAATAAATGAATGCAACACCAAAAATAAGAAAAGTTAAACGTACAGTATACCCTGCAAACCTAGTCAAATCACGCCCAGCTAGAATCAACCTTCCAACAGCTTGAGACAGGTTCACCAGATAACCAGCTGCATAAAACAAATATTGCTTCAGTTATGTAATCAATAATCAATATTCAAAAAAGATAAGCTGTTTAGGACCCACAATTTCTCGAATAATCTTCCATAATCTTTGTTGGATCAGCATCAAGTTTACCCATAAATTCGGTAGCTATGCGAGAATATGATTATTAAAATGAAATATAACTCAAACGTGAGGTTTTATATTGACGACTTACCATACCGCGGGTCAAATACAGGCCTTGCTAATAAGCTAAAACGAATGTGATATGTAAAATAAATAAGAGCCATAAATGAGAAAATAGGAGTAGCTGACCACTTACTAATAAGCAGTCATTGTTGCACAATATTTAACTAAAACTGAATCAATTATTCCATTAATAAAGCGGAGGCGGTATGTTTTTTTAGTATGTTTCACAATTTTATCAAAGCTTGTATTGACCACAATTTGTTCTCGTTCACCACCGCCGTAAAAAGCGATTTCTTCCGAGTGAGTAATGATACGAGACTGGAAGAATTAAAAGGAATTAAATAGGTGATACTTCCTTTAAAAAGGAATGTGGACTAATAGTAGAAGTTTAATTCTCACTTGCGTAAATCTAAAATCGCCTTCAAGTTTTTGCTCTATGGCAGTGTCTTTGAAAACACAAGTATATTAGTTACATTATCAAATAAATAAATTATGAAACATAGACTTATTAATTAAATCGCACATTTGCCAAACGGTGGTGAAAGTGCACGAAGAAGAAGACCTGAACACACGAAATATGCAATCATGTAAATCGGCGCTAAATAATAATAATAATAAGTCAGAAAGGCATATAGATTCTATTTTAATTTTATAATCATTCAAGTTATATATACCTTCTCTGCCACTATTATGTGTAATGTAATTGCCAGAATTAATCAAATATGTACGAAATATAAGTATAACGGTATAATTGTAATTAATATTACATACATGGCTTCTCCTAACTTGTAAGCAAACAAGACCATATCGACAATCGGCTTAGCAATATCCGAATATAAATGGCTTAGATTCTCGGCAAACTTATCAATATCCTTAAAATAAAAAGGAAGATATAGATAGATTGATAAATTTTATCTGAGAATAGAAACAAGTAATTTTAGAGACTCACCTGAGTCAATAATTGATCCGCATTTTGAATCCGATTATCGAGATTAGAAATTTTATAGAAAACAATGTCCTTTAAGTACTTCTGATTTGCGTACTATATTGTATGCAAAAAAAAAATAACTATATTATTAAAATTAATGAATATATTTATAGATCCAACTGGTTCGTTAATTACTTTTGTAAGCCGAACTCTGAATGCCAAAGATAATGCACTTATAGTAAGCTTTAACGAATTATTCACAATACTCATCGGCCACTAATATAAAATGATAAAGAGAAAGTATATTCAGTTGCCATTTGTTTAGTTAATACACATAAAAGGCTTATATAAATGCTTGCCATCATGAATCCAAATTCCACAACTGCAAGTGCAATAAATGTTTTCCGATCACGTGATACAATTGCTTTAACAACGTGGCTGTTTACAAAAGAATAGAATAAGAAATCTTTAAGGATAGTATTCTAAACTTTGAAAGAAAAATAAATGTATCGGTATTACTTACCCATTAAACCCAGAAAACCTGTTATACAAAATTAGAAAGCAATAGCATTAATCTTACAAAACTTTGCCAAGTAAATCATCATAAAACATGGTCAAGTATCCATATTATTAAAAAATTTCAAAAGGTTTCCAGAACAAATCAAAGTTTATGCCATACTGAATTTAATAATTACTATTGTAAAGCTAATGTCATTTTGAGAATTTCTTGATTTCATTAGTGTTACAAATCGTCAACAATTTTTCAATCGATTAGTCGTAACAAATTAACTAATCGATTAAGTGCAACTAATTAATTAAATTCTTCAATCGATTAGCAATTATTGCGGTTTGCAAAAATTTGATGATTAAAAAAAAAAAAAAAAAAGAAATCGATGATTTCTGATTCTGATTTCCGATTTTTTTAACATTTTTTAGATTAGACTTTAAGATTAGGCTTTAATATACATAGTTTTAATAACTATATTAGATTTGAGTTTATTATACATATTTTATAAATCTTATGTATATTAAAGTCTAATCTAAAAGTCTAAAAAAATGGGCAATAATTCTTTAATCGATTAGTTGATTAATTGATTAGTTGATATCTAAAAAATTCAATTGATTAGTTGTCAACTAACCAATCGATTTTTTCAACTTTCGATTTGTAACACTACTTTTAACTAACATTAATTTAGGAATATAACAAACCAGATTTTTTCTGCAGTTGAGAACTATTTATATTATAAGTTTTTGTAGTATCAGAAACTTGTATATCAGTTGAGTCACGTTCCTTATCGTTAGTGTCAAGGGTAGTCTCACCCCTACGTAATACGCTAAATCGTTTAGTTAATGTTGGCATGATGAGAGAAGTTCGGGTGGGATTTGGAAGTGAGGGAAGTGTATTGTTAGTAGTTGGCTTTGAAAAGGAATTCTCGTCTTCCAACTGCTTCCTCGTTTCGGACCTTTTTAGAAAACGATGCATTTTGGAGTTTTATAAAATGTTCTCGAACGTAAAAGAAAAAGGTTTAGAAAATGATTGTAAAAAATAATAAATTTAATATATTTAGTTTATACTTAATATTTTCACTACTAATATACAGAAAAGAATGTCAAATGGCTTTGAGGAAGAGACCTCCTAACAGCCGCAACGACGTACAACTATTCTGCTGTGAGTAGATGAAAATGTTACCCATATAACACGCGCACATTGTACATAATATATCTGAAACCATCCACACGCATATACTTTGTATTTATTATGTGTAATTTGTGTGAACTTTATAGTCACGTTATTTCAAGAGTCTAAAATAAGAATGACGATAAACCATACAGTGCATACATTAAATATTAAATGCGCGGTAAATATCAGAGAAAATTAACGTTTTTTAACCTTACTAAGATAAAAGAAACCAATCATAATAAGCCAAACAAATTCAATTATTATAAAGTAAACCCACACTTAACGAAAATTAATTTTGATTTGTACGAGTTAGAATACGTAATTACAACTCCAAATATAGAAATCTTTGTAATAATTGGATATTGTGTACTATATAGAGGCACGTATAAAAATTACTACAATTTATTTTGTTTTTCTTTTTTGAATTGATTTTTATTTACAATATCTATATTGTTTGTTTTTTAAGATTTTTTAACTAATAGACAACTATATAATATGTATTACGTACTATATAACTTTTTTTTATTTAAATCTATTAAGTCAAAAATAGGATAAGTCGATTGATCAGATTTGCTCACGTGAAGGTCGTCAATAAGAAATATTATGCTTGTCGGTAAAATGCGGAAAATTTCAAACTCCCCAAAAAAACAATTGCCATTTATAAACCAAAAAAATTGAAAATTGAAATATAAGAATTATTAATAAAGGTTTTGAGATGTTTAACAGATAAATAACGTGATCATTATATAGTATTAATTAGTATTAGCTAACTGTTAGTGTTTCTAGAGATCGTTCGGAAAGCAGTGAAAGATATTCCACTGGCATAGAATATGCGTTAATTAACGCAAATAGCATACGTACCATATCAGATATCCCTAACCCCGGAACAAATACGTACGTATGTAATTTGTTTACCGTAAGGGGCGAATCGGTTTAGCCGATTAAAGAATTGGTAGAATTAAAGAATTATGTTAATTACTATATTTAGTCGACTAAACTGATTCCAATTCCAGTAAATTTATTTTTATATATCTAAATTTAATATGTGGCTGTGTTAAACCAATTTTCACAAGTCACGGGACAAGATCAGGAAATGAAAAATCACCTAAGAAATCATACTACAGTACTAAAAAGATAATAATGTTAATCCTAACCGAACGTCACATTTTAACTTCAACCAATATTTTTGATACGTATCATATGCGTATGAGCATGTATGCATATCAATGAACATCTCTATAACAAGCTGTAAAGGTTAAAACTTTATATCAGTTCAAGTAAGGTAAGCGTTAACTCGGAAAACTTTTTTTCCAAAATACTGTATCTAGTTCATTATAAGAGTGCTAATTTTCATATTTTTCGTGTATCATACCGTATGCGCACATACAGTATATTCCACAGTGCACAAATATTTTCACGATGCCTTTATTTTTTTTTTTAAAAAAAAAATATATTATGGCGAACTAGTCTCTATTGATTGATTATAATATGACAATATTGAAATTTTGCTTTATATGGTTTCTAAATAAAGGTAATACAGTTTATAACGAATTGGATATTTGGAAAAATTTATCCGAGGTAACACTACTACACTGAACTTATATAAAATTTAAAATCTTTACAGCTTGTTATAAAAACGTTCATTTCACGGAATTGCATACGTTTGTCAAAAAAATATGTTCACCCTGTCAAAACCGTGTTTGTTTATTAGAACCTTTAAATCCCAATAACCTTCTAAAACTGATATAAAATCTTTTTACTATGGCAGGTAGGGTTTTTTCTGATTTTAGGATAGCTTCTAAAATAAAGCTATGTATATGTTGTGCCCCAAATGAAAATCGGCCCAGTTGTCAATTGGGCTAGCCCAGATGACAATTTGAATTTGGGCTATCAA